CCGTTTAAAGAATAATCCCTTGTTACAAAGTTAGTTGATTTGGCAAAATCAATTATTTTCGGACATTCAATTCTCTCTCTCTTCCCGCCACCATCTCTAGATGATTTACAGTGGAACTTTATGAATGTTTGTCGCCGGATATAGTTACTTTTAAACAAGTGAAGGATACAATTCACTTTTTCACCGGTATATAACTGAACTTAATAAAAAAAAAAAAAATACTTTTCTCTCTGCGTTTTATGATTGATAGCTGACGGATCGATCGTAATTTCAATCATTAATTACATACATTTACATATAATTACAATCAATATTTTCCTTCGGTTTTATCCTCGGCCACGTTGAAAAGACAATATAAAAAACGCGAACATATTTACACTTATGTCCACAAATTATCTGAATTACAAATCGCACCGGTAATATTTCAAGAATATTCCAACGGAAATGGATTTCATTATATCGCGCGATCAATCGCGCACGATTGGATATAATTCAAAGTTTCCTACTTATCTCATCCGTCGTGGCGATCCGTCAGATTGTCCGACAAAATATCACGCGGGAGTCTAAACTTATTCAGAAGATAGAAATAATAAATGAATCGCGCGCTTGATTTATCTTCGGCGGAAACGAGTATATATATTTATAATGCGACGCTACTCTCATATCGAATTTCGTTAATCCACTCGTTATATTTCTTTTGACGTGGAAATGATAATAGATAATAATCCGAACGGTGGGGAAAACCGCCCCATATTATGCTCGACGACGCGACTACCCTTTCGCACCATTCTCTCTCTCTCTCTTTCATTTATTTCCCGCCAGAACGATCCATTAATTTCCATTAAACATCGACAAAACTCTCTCCCATCGATACTCGCCGGGCACTGACAATTCCAGAGGAAGTCACCGGGATGGGGAGAACAGAAGCTAAATGATACGCGTGTGTGCAGGTTGAAGAGTACATGTATTGAGCGCAGCCTTGGCTACGTGTGGGATTTCTGCCTTTGTCGCGTATTTTTTTTATACCCGGCTCGTATATAAACCAATAATTCCCCGGTAAAAGCTGCTCCTATGGGAAACGACGGGAAATACGAGCGCAGGTTACAGGAGATGCGGGAGGGAGTGAGGGACAAAACAACCCCCTCGCGCGCGGAAGCACTGACTTCTCGTTTGTATTTGTTCCATTCAATATTGCACGTATATTATCGCACGATACCGATCTGTCGCAGCGATTGTCGACGTGCCACGCACAAGTGTGATTGACGCGTAAAAAAAGTGTTCGAGTGAAAAATTCAATGTTTTACGAGGGCAAATATCACACAGCGATCGCTTGCCGATACTTGCGTTACGCGATAATTATACGCAAACTTCCAATGCAATCGGATTTTATATGAAAAAGATGTATCTTTTAATGACTAAGAATTTTTGCGCAAATTTTTGATAACTCTTTTGCGATATTTCTTAAAGAAATTGAAACGACTTCCGATATAATATACCATAACATATGTGCCTTTCTCCTTTCAAAATTGTGCACATATGCACTGAAAACTTATTGAAATTAATACGTGTTGTTTCTTTACCTGTGTAACCGTTACGGACGGAAGTTAGGTAACCCTTGGCGTCCTCTTTCTTCTCGTGTGCCTTCCGCAAATCCCTGTAATCTAGTATGTAACTAGTTGGGAACTTGGCGAATGCGGAATCACTACTAATTCCGCGATGCAAACTTATTTGGCGGTCATTCTTTATTAACTGCTTTGATATTTTAGAGCTCTATCTCGTACAGTTTATCAAATGCAACGCCACAAACAGATTAAAAACATAAATAATCTGTTGAGAAATATTAAATAATTCAGTCTCTTAGCTAAAGGAGAATATTTTCGTTCGCATATCTACCTCAAATAAGATCTTAATCCTAGAAAATGGAACAAGATTATTTCTCTTCATTAAAAAATAATATAATATATAAAAAGAGACCATATTACAAAGAATTAAGAAAAATAAACGAAAGTTAAAAAAGTGATTTTCACATTTAGACAATTATTGTATATTTATAATTCGCTAAAAAAGAAATCAATGATGCTCTCTTTTACACAAAAATATATAAATTGCATTACGTTACAAAATCACACAAATATAATACTTTATTCTCGACGCGATCGCAAAAAAGAAGATAAAGTTGATGATTCAGTGATCATGCGATTCATGAGATAATGCGTCATTCATCGACATATCTGTCACGAGGTCGACGATCTTTAGTAGTGACGCGCCAATTTGGATGCATCGTTCCTGGCGGAACGCTGTATCATAACCACCGGCAAAGGGTTAAAGGGAGCTTATTACTTTACGAGCCCCTAACACTAGCACACATGCGCGCTTATGTCTGTACACAATATATGCCGTGTACGTACTCTCGCTCGTGCATCGCGCTCCGGGAACAATATCGGAATTAACGAGACGGACATAGATATTTTTTTTAAAGAAAAATAACAGATTTTATTGCGAATGTATTTAAGTTATCTTACATTTTCTTAAGCTCGACAGCTTGATGATATTTACAATGCTTTTCTTAATTAATTATACATATATATATATATATATATTACAAATAAATATATATCTCTCCGTTCACGCATGCCGTAGTCTCTCTTCTCTCGACGAAACGATTACATGACTCTCGAGAGTCCGGAGAAAACGTATCGAAACAATATTTTGCCGTGTGCTTTAACATTGCGTCGGTTAAAAGCGCGCGCGTAAATTCTATGAAATGATAAATTATAAATGATGTCGACATCGAGTTCGCATTATAACACACTTGCAGAACGAGTGGAGTTATCGATAAACGTATCCCCCGTTGAAAACGGAATTTAATTTCTAGATTATTAATCTGCATTATATTCCGAATGGTGCGCAGGATAATAGAGAAATATCGATAATTGCATGAATGGGACACGTTTGATTAAATAGCGTGACTTTCTCATATGGATTTTATAATAACTTATAAGTCAAACAATTGGTAACGATTAATTGTTTACGACACATACCCGTAATGTCATAAATGTGTCGTAAAAATTGTCAATTAATCGAATTATCTTTCTGCAAAATTATTGTTATTCCAGAATAACATAAAAGCCAGTTAAAACGCCGACTATTTTAAAATATATAAATGATAAATAATAGATACCACAAAAAAAAATATTCTTAATAAATAAATTGCTTTATAAAAGTTTATATTAAAAAAAAACCACAAATATTGTAATAAATAAATTGCTTTATAAAAGTTTATATTAAAAAAAAAACCACAAATATTGAAAATCTATACTTATCGAGAATCGTGTAATGCCTCAGTAATGAATACTGTGAGAATCGATACGCGACATGGAAATTTATTTACTTTCTCTCTCTCATATACACATACAATCATTCTTTCTCTCGTTTCGCCTACTTTATAATTAAGACACGATAATGCAAGTGCTAATACTATCATTTGTGCAGCGAATACAATCGCGCTCGTGTGTATGTATGTGTGTATATATTACGTGTTTCTATAGGTAACACGTAACAACACTCTATGTCGGATCCCAGAAAAATAGATTCGTTCATTTCTGGTTCTTTAGGTAGGAATCTCGTGTCTGACATGTTGCATTTGTACAAACGGGCATGCCAAACAAACATGTCAAACGCAACCACAAGTGGCCCACAATACGATCCTGCAACATTTTCCCCTCCCCCCTCTCTCTACGGCTCTCTTCAAGTTTCGTTTATGAATAGCGTTTCGCAAGTATTATCCACGCGTATTATTTACGTGTTACGCGGAATTTTGATCAAAGAATATGTGTGAGCAGTTACTCTAATTATCTCGGCTATTTTTAATTAGGCGAAATTTTTCTGTAATTCTAGCGTGCATTCATTAGTGCATCCTGGTGAGAGTTTTTTTTTTTTTGTAAACTACTTTTTTTTTGAAACTCTATTATATGACTCCCTGAAATTAAAAAACGCTCTTCAAACCTTCGGATCTCGCTCATTGTACGCAAATATGAAAATGTACATGGCCCCCCGAATACAGTGCAAAAGTTTTGATTAAATAGCGTGACTTTCTCATATGGATTTTATAATAACTTATAAGTCAAACAATTGGTAACGATTAATTGTTTACGACACATACCCGTAATGTCATAAATGTGTCGTAAAAATTGTCAATTAATCGAATTATCTTTCTGCAAAATTATTGTTATTCCAGAATAACATAAAAGCCAGTTAAAACGCCGACTATTTTAAAATATATAAATGATAAATAATAGATACCACAAAAAAAAATATTCTTAATAAATAAATTGCTTTATAAAAGTTTATATTAAAAAAAAAACCACAAATATTGAAAATCTATACTTATCGAGAATCGTGTAATGCCTCAGTAATGAATACTGTGAGAATCGATACGCGACATGGAAATTTATTTACTTTCTCTCTCTCATATACACATACAATCATTCTTTCTCTCGTTTCGCCTACTTTATAATTAAGACACGATAATGCAAGTGCTAATACTATCATTTGTGCAGCGAATACAATCGCGCTCGTGTGTATGTATGTGTGTATATATTACGTGTTTCTATAGGTAACACGTAACAACACTCTATGTCGGATCCCAGAAAAATAGATTCGTTCATTTCTGGTTCTTTAGGTAGGAATCTCGTGTCTGACATGTTGCATTTGTACAAACGGGCATGCCAAACAAACATGTCAAACGCAACCACAAGTGGCCCACAATACGATCCTGCAACATTTTCCTCTCCCCCCTCCCCCTCTCTCTACGGCTCTCTTCAAGTTTCGTTTATGAATAGCGTTTCGCAAGTATTATCCACGCGTATTATTTACGTGTTACGCGGAATTTTGATCAAAGAATATGTGTGAGCAGTTACTCTAATTATCTCGGCTATTTTTAATTAGGCGAAATTTTTCTGTAATTCTAGCGTGCATTCATTAGTGCATCCTGGTGAGAGTTTTTTTTTTTTTGTAAACTACTTTTTTTTTGAAACTCTATTATATGACTCCCTGAAATTAAAAAACGCTCTTCAAACCTTCGGATCTCGCTCATTGTACGCAAATATGAAAATGTACATGGCCCCCCGAATACAGTGCAAAAGTGTTCGTATAATGCATAGAGAGAAAATTGGTTTGACATACCTAGAGAGAGCTCTCGAAGCTCGGTGATAAGCTAAGCGACTCGCACCTGTTTCGAGATGGCGGATAGCTTTACCGGGCCCTCTTCTCTTGGATGAAATCGCAATAACGCGCGTCTATTTTACTACTTTTTAAATTTTCGACAAAGTCGAAGACACTTGTGCTCACGGCGATCGCGTTTCTTTAACGAAATACGCTTGCGTTCTCTCGCGCAAAGGAACGTACCGTGATTTTATCTGCCGTTCTTTGAACGAGCGTAGAAATTCTTTGCTCTACTCAGATTTTTCTCGGCGATCTCTCTCTCTCTCTCTCTCTCTCTCTCTCTTTCAGTAGTCGCACGAATCGATAGATCGCGATTATTCGATGAAATTGATTTCAGGGCGACGATAGCTCGTTCGTTCTTTCCGCACGAGCGCCCTTTTCCGAAATCGAAGCGGAAACGTGCCGGAAAGACACGTTTGCCTTTTCTCCTCGCTATAAATCTTTAACCTCCTTACTCTCGCCGCCCTTTTTCTCCGACCATTCGATCCACGTGTTCGCGGAATTCTGACTTCTCGCGCATACAAGCAGAACAGCACGCGCGCGGCAATTAAGAGACAGCTCGCAAAGGATCTCGCCGGTTAATAAAGAATATTTTTATTTCATTTTCATTTTTTCGCGACTTTTCTCTCGCGTAAAAAAAGAAAAGATCGAGTCAGTCTTACGTGACAGTGTCGTATTAACTTGGCAGATCACGGAGAGCAAACGATCGATCGAGGCGACTCTCCGGCACGTCGGGTCTACACGATCTACTTTATTATCGTTCGATTCGCGATATCTCCACGATGTGCATCTCGCACCGACGATTTTTCTCCCGCGCGATCCTCTTCCATTCTTCCGGTGCTCCGTCATATCTTCTTGGAGTGTCCTTCTCACTCTCCTCGCTTCTTTCTCTCTTAATACTGATCTCCCACACGTTGTTTACTTTCGTAATCGTGATTATCATCATCTCTTGCACCATCTCTTAAATGAAAAATATATCCTCTTTGAAGAAAAAAATGCGCGTGAGCGCCGCGCTCTTCCTTCCTCGGCATATATTTTCCCTCTTCTCCCGTCCTTGGATCAATTTTTTCTCCCCGACGTTTTTCTTCTCTCTCTTTTCGACCTCCTCCTCTCCTTCGACTATTCTTCAAGCACTCTTCGAAAATAAGGAATATATTCTCTCTGAAGCAAAGCACGATAAAAGTCGAATGACTCTCCCCCTTCTCCTCGTGTCCTAGCGATTCTTCTCCTCATCTCGCCATTCTTCTCGCTTGATTCCCCATCTTTTGCCTCCCTCCCTCATCCTCTCGCGCTCCCCTATCCGCTATCTTTCGAAGGTAAAAAGTGATCCTGATCGGAGCCAATTACGTAAAGTATCTCATAAGGAGAATAAGCGTCATTGGTATAATGGCAGAAAGATTTGGCGTCGAGCTACCGTTGAGCATAACGCACTCCTCGTGCGTGTAAGACGCGCAGTGCGCCTGTAACAAACAAGACGGGCAATTCATCCTTCCTTTAGAGAATCCTCGTTATTGACTTTACTACTAGCTAAGATCGTCGCTCTCTATCTCTATATACATTCGCTTCTCCTTTCTTCAGTTTTTTTCTATACTTGATTTTTCTCTTCAGGTCTCTGTACTTTATCTTTAAAAACTAAGAAATAATGATAAAGATATCAAAGTGCACAATTTGGACTAGTACAATAATAATAATGTTGATAAATATTAATAAAAATATAACTTACTTTTATTATTATATTAATCCAAATGACGAATAACGAAGAAATTGAATTCTTGTAAACTTGTTGAATTGAGAATATTTATGACAATAATATAATATACGATATATACGCATATTAGATAATACGAAGAAATTACTTGCTTCCGATTTGTGGTGTCAATAAAAATTAACAAAGAAAAACTTACTTTTTCTTTGTTCAATGAAAAAATTTTGCGCACCATTAAATCATCGAAATACAGAGTATCAAAGTTTAACAAATTGAAACATGATCTGCCTTAAAATTTTATCAGAAAAAAGTCAAATTTAAATTTGTCAAAAAATAGAAAAATCGATTCCGTATCTTTTGTCAAGCATAGCGAATAAAATAATTAGGAGCGGAACAATTAGCGCAAGTACTCGGCACATAATTTTTCGTGCCAATGAGAAATATAATACAAGGTGGTGTAATACTCACTTTTAGCAGTGAGGTTGACATTCTGTCGAGGAAGTCCTTCGTGAATCGCGCTGTATCATCGCCACACTGACGGCGTACTGTACGATGAGAGCACTCCAGGTATTCCGTGAAGGCGCTGCAAATACAAACAAATATCCCAAACTCCATTGAAAATCCCCTTTCAAACGTTCGAATTGGATAAAGCATGTGGTTACCAATTGCATTTGCAAAATGCGAGCGAACACATAACAATCCGAAATACAAATGGAGAATATTGTGCAAAAATCATATCACTTAGAGATATTATTATATTAATCGCAAAAATTTTTTAAATTTTTGTACTCTTCTTAATATTTTTTTTTTCTTTTCGATTATTCTTTTCTGATACTATTTCCAAAATTTAAAACATAACTTTTAGCGCAGAATGAATTTTCATTCATTTTTTTAATTCGCCCGTTTTTTGCCGACCGGATGACTTTTTTTTATTTTCGCGAACAATAGCCCAAGATTGGATCTTTGCGAAGAAACAAAATGGTGTGAGAGATGTGTTTTTACGGCTCTGTTATCCACTTTTGGGTCGGCATCGCACTACTTACATCCCTCTCCCCTCGTTCTAACCCTTTCCGCGAGAGATGCGCAAGTTCAAAAGCTGCAGTAGACCGTGGCAGAGATACGCTAATGACATTACGTCCCTTCCCCTTGTATGTGTACAGGCATCAGCGTGAAACTTCCGACCTAAAGGACTGATTACACTCTTTTTGCGCGAGTCCTTTGAGCAACGCCCGTCGTTATTAATGCAGTTGTTTCGCCCAGCGAGCTCTTAAGTGTTAAATTATCACAGTCAAGGAGATTTTGACATCCTTTTGCGCTAATGCCGGAATTTCGAGTATTGCTTAATAAACCTATTTGTCCGCATTTCGTGCCTTTACTTCGCTCCAAAGATCCTTCGTGTCATATCTTAATTCGATTTCTCCTCAGCGCATTTAATATCGGTCTAGAAAAGAATTGATAATACTGATGTGGCAGAGAGTTCCCATTGTGCTCTCGAAACACGAGAATGCGATGTAATTGGGTATTTATTATGCTTTTTTTTTGCACCTTAAATCGATTTCCTTAAATTATTGACATAATTGCAGATTGATTCTTTTTAAAGAGTCCACCAGTCGTAAAGTCCAGAAACTTTAATTGAACAATCTATTTTATGATTTAATGATTATGGTGAATAATTTTATCATCAAGTCTCAATATTATTCCTCTTTTAACCAAATACATTTAGAATAAATATCTGTCGATTTGTGATGAACTAAATTTTTTAAATAAATATTCTCTTTTCGTAAGATAAAAATATTAGACTATTTCATTCTATTTTCATGACGGAAAAGTTGATAATCCGCGCGTAGGGGCGTGATAGAATTCAGATAAAACAGTCGCGATAGAATCTACATTTTGAAAAGTGACTAGGTCAAATTGACTCGCGCTTTGAGTTCCAAGGTTTACCTCCGCGTTGCCAAACTAACAAACTTTCCGGATAAGCAAATGGACCGCGAACGCATCCTATTTACAAAGATGAAAATTCCGGTCGAATGTGTATACTGATCTTGCATATAAATTTTATAACAGTATCATTTTTAGCTTATAATTGTAATAAAATTAATTCAAAAAACGCAATTTTACATATATCTCACAGTACTTTGGATCACGTATCTTTTTTTCTTTTATTCAGCTGTGTCTATATATTACTTTTATACGTCAACTCTCTATTTCCGGTTAAAATCTTTGAAATAATTAATAACGAATCTGCCGTACAAGTATTTATTTTTATTACTTCTACATGCAAAACAATCTATTCTTCGACTTACCAGCAAAGAGACTTGAGATCTTCTTCTTGTGTAGCAGTTGTGCGATTTGAGACCTTTTCCATCACTACCGTACCCTTCTGATACGCTTTGTAACACATCTCGTACTCGGCCTTGACTTTTTGCATGCACGGGGCGTGCTTCAAGAATTCTGCAAACAGAAAATTTTATTCCCTCTATTGGAGGATTGCGTATTGGTCGGAATGCGGGAATCGATAATGAAATTCCGCGGTCAATCAGCCCACAATTTCCCGCCGGAAAATGTATAATCTAATATTACTAAAAAATAAAGAAAAGAGATATACACGGTTACTAACTTTAATTAATGATGGCTTTAATTTATATGACAATATAATTAAGAATCACATATATTTCACTTAAAAAAAATTAAGTATATAATTCGTTTTCTACGCGTAGATTAAAAGTCAAAATCGATTACGCGACAGAATAATCCCGCTTTTATTCCCGAGTCTATTCCTAGAAAAACAACTCGACTTTATGTATGGGCGCGTTCTATAATTACAAGGGCATATACCTAGATCGTTGACTGATGCACTAATCATCTCTCTCGTCCTCTTTCGCGATTATGGTTTTATAGATGAAAACCGCTTTTCTCTATAGTCATCTTGTTTACGATAGACGAGCTTCACGTCACGCGCGCTAGCATCCGAGAAATCGATATTACTCCTTGCTAACGATTCATTATGTTACACGGTACTCTCCTCTCAGCCATAGAGGGGAGTACATTATGAAGAGTCATGCCTGCTCGATCGACCCGCGGACAATCTATGTGATATTCCTGTAATCTCGAGAGTGCCGGATACATTATTGACTCTAGTGCCATCTCCAATTGTTGAAGACCGACAGTTTGGAATTGCATTGATGCCCAATGCCGCTTGCCCAATTGGCAAACGAGCCGCTGGCTTTTGCACATCGTTATTCTCGCCGAAAGCAAAATCTACTCTACAATTATAATTTTACAGACGCGATGAATCCTTCGAGCAAGAGGCCGAAATATAATTTAATTTCAAATTTCTCGATTATAAATTAATATCGCTCTTTCAATATAGAAAGCAGCTTCATTTCTGTTATTTCTGTGCAACGAGTGTCTCTAATTACTGAGCTTTTCAGTTCTCTGCATTTTTCTTTTATTTCGCGTATCTGATTTTATCTTTTTTCTCCGTTTTAATGCTGAAATTGTTACGCTTGTAACATTTTGAATATACAAAAACGTAAAAGCGTTTAGCTAAAAAAAAAAAAAAA